TTCTTCCTCGGGTAGGGGTGGTAGCTGGCATGGTGGAGCTTCGTATGAAGTGATGGAGGCTGGTAGACAGCTGTTGAAACTCTGATGATTCTCCGACCCATTGAGGCCAGTGATGTCCCCCGACCGAGCCACGAATCTCCTGCAGGAGCCGCCCGAGAGCCTTGTCCTGCTTCTCGCCATAATCTACAGACAGACGGATGCCAAAATGCAAACAATGAATATGCGATGTCTTCCTTACGCGTGGTGACGCGGGTTGACGCCCAATGAAGTTTTTCTCATGCATTATGCATACTAGGATGAAAGGCTGCAACGGCTGATTGGTCTATGCCCGTCGTGTCCTCATCTCCTGCATGATTGCGATGGAATCCTTGTGGTTGGGAGTACGATCATTACGATAAAGAGTCCAATTGTTCTGATAAAAGAGAATGACTTTGGGAACGATGAACTCCTGAAACGTCCATCCATGCGTGTTCCAAGCGGTCCTTGTCAGTTCCGCCAGAGTTTGACGAAGGCAGAACATCAGACAGGTAGACATTGTGAGCGCGGAATGATGATACCATGCGAACATGGAGTTGACCGATTCTTGGACTTCGACATTGTTGCTCTTGTCGATACGCATGTATCGCTCCATTGCCCGCAATACCCCGCATCATGAGCAATTCTGCAGAACGACCGCAACTTCGTCATGCCGCCAATCGAAATCCAACTCCGACTCGTACACGCACTTGCCCTGGATATCCTGCAGCAGCGGCTCCTTCCCTTCCCACCTGTGTGATAGCATGGCATATTGCAGGTATCTCTTCACCACTTCTTCGATGTGCTCGATGTGCAAGTCTACATGCGTGATTGTTGATGACACGAGCTCCATATACTGCGTGCTCATTTTGAAGGTGCCTATCTGCGTCTCTCGATCGCATAAGAGACCGGTGTTGGTGTCGAGTACACGCAGCGGAGCGTTGTCGAGTCGGGCATCAATGACCCGTCGGATGGCGTGTTCTACTTCAGAAGGTCTGAGATACTGCTGGCGCAGCTCTGGAGAAACAGTTAAACATGTTGACGAATGCGTTATCAGAGACTTACTTCGTGTCTGAACATCAGGTGCATTGTCCAATATCGAGAGCATTGTTTGGAAGGTTTCAATCGCTTCATCATAGCGCCGCGCACCATGAAGCGCTGCGTGCTTCAAGTCGTATCCAAGATAAGACAAAGAGTCGAGTTCGATGACCTATGTATCGCTATAATGAGCATCGGTTATGGGACAATAGTTCCCATCGCACCTTCTGCGCATCGAGAAGAGCTTCCATCCATAGCATTTTGCCCAACTTTGCCTTGCTACGATTTGCAAAGACAACATCAGATGCAGAAGAGTTAGAGTTGATTACCGCCGAGTATAGGTAGATAGCCTTGTCATAATCGTTCGCAGCGAGGGCAGAATCTCCGTTGGCGGCACATAGCACGCTACATTGTTGCTTGAATTCTGAGTGAAATGCAGGTGAGTATGATGGCCTCGGGTGACATCACTAAAACTCGCCATTGGACCAATCGAGGCAGCTGGCCTTCGCAGATTCATCAATGGCGTCCATCAGGTGTTTATGTGCTTCAAGGGCCTTATCGGGTTTACCTGCCAAAAAGAAAGCCTGGCACCGTTTCTGGTGTGCAATGAGCAACAGGGATTCAAGGTCCCAGCCAAAGAGCTGGACAAAGCACTAGGTTATGAAAGCATTATGTATGGATCATCTTGACGCACCACGGTCAAGTCCTCATATGTCAAATGAATGTATTTTGACGAGAATGCAGTAGAGTTGACAGCAGCAGTGAAATGATCAGCGGCCTCGTCGTAACGCGCACCATCCAAGGCTGTGATTCCGAGATGAACACGTAGATATGTCTAATGTACGAGAGACGAAGGTCAGTATTGAGGACCAAGCGTAGCCCATGATACTGACTTCCACGACACGACGCGCAAGAGGATCGACATTCGGACAAGCGATATCCAGGTCTTTGATGAGCAGCATTGCTTCCTCGTGTTGATCGGCGTTGAAGAGTGCGATGGCCTGGAATACCGGATGAAGCGGATAGCATGGGAGACAGATTAAATGTACCTTGATCAAGAGAAGAAATTGCTTGGTTTCTGAATCTTGGTTCGTGAACATGGATGCAACGTCGAATGCAACCCTTGCTTCCCGGACGTGACCTTTTCCGCAGAGGGTAATGCCTTTGGAGATAAAGCCAATCAACGATGGCCTAATGTTGATCGACTATGTCACGGATGAAAGTTAGCCTTTCGTAAGAGGACAATGATGGGTGGGTCCATCTCACCTTGATTGCATCCTCAAGGGCGTGGTCCAAGTTGTGCTTCCGGGCCATAACGAACGAACGATTGGCATATGAAGTAAAGTTGTCGGCGTTGGTGCGGATATCTTGAGTGAGGAGTTCTTCAGCGATAGACAAGTCCCCAGTTAGACATGCATCGCGGGCTGTTGTGAGATCTAGGATCTGTACGAAGGATGCTCGAATTGTGTAATGAGAGTCAGAAATAGAAACTCGCCTTTGAATAAGTGTTCTTTGGTACTGCCCATTCTGAGATCTTGTTATCACGACCTCCGCTGAGGATGTGCTTGCCGTCCACAGAGAATGTGACACATTCCAGGTGGGATGAATGCTGGAAGACGGCGATGGTTCGTTGATCTGAGAGCCGCCAGACACGGACATTTTTGTCTTCAGATGCAGATGCGACGAGGGTGCCAGTGGGATGAATGGCAATGGCGTAGATATCGTGAGTGTGGCCATTCCAGGGATGACCGACCTGCTGCCAGGTTGATGTGTCCCACTCTAATATGTGATCGACGCTTCCTGAAAGAAGGCGTGTGCCATCGGGCGTCCACGCGAGTGACGTGCTCCATGATTTGTGACCTGTCGGTGTCAAAGATGCGACGCGTTCCCTTGTACCTGGATTATAAATTTGGATATTTCTGTATGTTGCGATGGCAAGAAGTTCACCAGAAGGCGAATATCGAACGCAGCGGACAAGATTGCCACAGTCGATTGGATCTCCTTGCATCTGCCACGTTTTGGTACACCAAAACTTCACCGTGCGGTCATATGAACTAGTAGCCAGCACCGTTCCATCCAGAGAAAAATCCAAAGATCTCATCCTCTGGGGGTGGGATTTGATGGGTTGGGTGATGGATTCGCCAGTTTCACTGTGCCAGACGATGACTTCCCCATTTTCATCACCGCTTGCTATTATTTTACCACCTCGCGATATCGTCAATGCCCACACCGCACCGCTATGCCCTTCCATCTTCTTCAACACAACACCTGTCTCCAAGTCCCAAAGACGAAGTGTCTTGTCGTACGAGCCCGTAATCATTCGTCGTTTATCGGGGAACATTGCAACTGCAGTTATGCCCTCCTCATGATCTTCAAAAGTTCGAATGGATGTGGTACTTGGAATGAGCCGTGACATTTTACTGGAGGTTGATGGTGTTGAGCACGGCCGAGGGATTGTGGGTGTCTCTCTAAGTTACAGAGGTGTGTGTATTGTGCGTTTTCATGTTGCTTCACCACGCTAACCATCCTCGTTTCCATAGACGCCCAAGACACGAGGCAATTCGCCATCACCATTTCAGCAAGCATGCTCCCAACCAGTAATAACCGACTGCACTGGCTACGTGCGTCAGACATTTGTCTTCACAGTTTCAAGCCCTACCGTGACATCAAGCGAGTATCACACCTCTGCAACAAACTTTCAAGCTCATTATCTGCATCATAAATAAAAAATACAAGAACATTGTGGCCAATGATTTGTACAGCGCAAAGCAATCTTGATTCTAGCATTCCGATCAGCATCAGTGGTCGTCCACGCCCAGCCACCCCCATTTAATGAGTCGAGTCGCTCCGTCATGCCACGACTGTACCCTGCGGCTAGCTAGTGTGGACATTGTAGAACCACGAGTGCCAACGAAGCCAGCTCCATTCAACTGAATGATAGCGTCGAGGAACACCGGATTCCTGGTAACAGCCACAACTTTTAGTGTCAGGATGAAAATATGACATCTAATCGGCTCACCATTTTCCATAGATCTCCTCTGTCCGTTCCGCTGCATAATCTACCCACATCCACCCCAACGCCCTAACATTTGACCACCATTCCAGGGCGTCGCTCGTCATGATAACATGTGTAGTATTAATTCCTTTTCGTGTACGAAGCTCTTCTTGCACCTCGGACACACTGCGCGCAATAACAGACAACGGGGCAAAGCCCCGGTCCACTGGAAACTCCTTGCATTGCTGGCTAAAGTCGCCGTGCTGTATGTGGATCGATATATACTATCAAAAGTTAGATCTGTAGAGCAACCTATACCCGAAACTTTGACTCACGGGAGGTGTTGGTTCACATCAGGAAATCGCCGAGGCGACGGTTTTTGTAGTTGTAGTTGGTAAAATCAGATCAAAAATTCACGCGATTATATGTAATGACAAAAGTAGACAAAATAATATATAAGACAAGCAAATTGGTAGCGAAGGATAAGATATGGCAAAAAATGTATAATCCTGATGAAAATACTAGGCAAGTGTACCAGCATTTCTCGACTGCATGGTCACCTATGGTCACCGGTAGTGCTGCCATGGTCCAGTTTGGTCTGGTTCACAGAGGGTTGAGGGAGAACCAAGAACCGGACCTAGGTCTGGTTCAACCAGACTCAACGAACCCCGAACTGGACTTTTGCAAACAGTTTGGTCAGGTCCAGTCCAGTTATTTTGAGGTTCGAATGCGAACTGAACCCGAAATTTTTTTACACAAGCAAAAAAAAAACATATAGGACTTGTACTTGTAGCTACACATTCAACACAGCTGCTTCCACCTCAACCATTGCAGAAACAGCCGATGATGTTATATAGATATATCTTAAGTGGACTATAGTTCTCAAAGTCCGATACATACTCTTCTGTTGTTATCCATTGTCCAACAGGATGTATCCTACATGAGAATCACGCTGCCGGCTTCCCGTGCTTATAAATCACTGTTCTACAGGGGGTTGAATGCTCCATATGGATATTTGGCAGTTCACCTCCATTTACACCCTGCCATTGCCCTGCCTCCCTCATTCTCCTTGATGGGATCAGCAGGTGGCAATAGGATCTGACAATAGGCTTACTTCTTGTACCTGTCAAGAACTTTAATATGGCTGACACACTGCACAGCACTGGGATGAAAATGTGTTCTTCAACCGTGAGAACGAATTGCATGACTACAAGGCTTTCAAACGTGCCTACCTCCTGCTCTTCGACGACCAGTTCTTACAATCATTAATATTCTGGGTGGTACAACTTGAAAGGTACTTTTTCAGACGCTCATTTTCCTTTCAGTCGAAGCTGATTTCTTATTTGAGCTTGCCGTGATCAAGAAATTGAATTATAATCACAAGGTCTTCCAGCCCAGCATCTGGAACAGACACGTCTTTGGCACCCGCGATCCACTGAGCTCCAACCACGACAACATAGTTCTGTATTTCCTGCTCAGAGCATCCAAGGGATCTTAGCATAGTCCAGGCTGTCCCAACCAGTGAAGGGTGGCAAACACAAGGTGGGCTCCTGTGTCAACTTGAATGTATTGATAATTTAGTTCGTCTGGCGTGTATGTGCTGTTTGGTATGATTCATTCCTCCCTTTCAAGCACTTGCCGACGATGCTTACAGCATACTCCATACCAGTACCTGGAACTGTGGCTCCATTCACATTGTATGCCAATTCAGTCGCATCGCGCAGAGTCTGTAAAGGTCATTTTGAACCTAGCATTCAAAAATTTACTACTAGACAGTATTATGTGCCACCCTCATGGAAACTGAGTAGTTTCATATTGTTGGCAGCAAAGGCATGAAAGAGAAATAGTTGTATTCTTCACTGGCGCTTCCCAACAACTTTTCTGTTTACATTACAAGCAATGACTGATTAATTAAACACAATTCCTTTGAGCTAAGAACAGTATGTAAGTGGTAAAAATCAGTGCTGTCAAATGAGAGCAGTGAAAGAAAACACGTGGGATGCAGGGAAGCGGGAGTGATGATCAACAGTGCCACTTACAATGAACAGAGACCTACTTCACTTGCCAACCTATATCATTAATATTAGCTGAACGGAGTCCATGACAGTGTAGCACTCGAGCTTGCGCTAAGCTCGTATTCACTGATTTCCTGATACACGTTCAATGCCCGTCACTTTCCAATGTAATCCGCACAACCTGACGCAAACCTGACGCTTTGACTAGCAGACCCGATGTTTTGGCCGCATCGGACCCGATATTTTCCCGCGCACTTGTCCTATCCGTGTCCTGTCCCGTCTTGCTAGCCCCACTAGGTGCGTAGTTGATTATTTCACACATTACTCACGTGGTAGCAAGCGCTATTACATGTTTTCCCATCATCCCGCAGCGCCTCGTGTTAGTTTACATGTACTTTGGACCCGAAATCGTCGGCCGCTACTTTTGCCTATAGGGTTCCGGATTTCTACGTACTTATATATATATTGGACTGACTACGAGTATTTTCATTATCCAAGTAGTAGGGAGCCGTTTCCCGATACTTAGTGGTCAAACCCGATATTTTGTAGTTCTTAGTTGATATTGCGAATATTACTGCTCTTTCTATTTGAAATACCCGTCATTATCATATATCTGCATACCGCTCGCTTTTCCGATGTTCGCTATCGCTATTCCCGCTAACCTACTAAACCCGAACCCGAAACCCACTAACCTGAAACCCGAAAACATCGGACCCGACACTTTGGCATCGGACATCGTAGATATACCTTCGGACTTTGTTTCCCGCGCTCGGACTTTTGACTGTTTTATCATTTCACTAACTACAGACTAATCCAATAGCTAACCCCTCGGGTCGAACGCACTTGTCTTGCAAGTATAGCAGACTAGGCTGTGCACGACCACAACACATTTTATATTGCTGGCTACTTACTTTGTGTAGTGCCCAGCAATTGTTGTATCTCTACAACAGCTGTAGTGGTGCGGCAGGGGGTGGGGTAGCCACTCTGGCTAGGTTTCACTTAGTACCAGTGTATATATGCTTGTAATTTATTTGAATGACAATTGTGGGACTTTTATAGGACCAAAACTCAGTATGCTACTCTACTATGCATGACTCGATTTCCACAATAACTTAAACACTTGACACATGTACAGTGCTAACATACATTGTTCTACTCTACTGCCTGCTTACTGTTTACATTCAACACATCCAACTGCTGGTTCACCCTTCCGCACCCTGACAGCCACCTTTTGTTCTCACCAGTATGTGCTGCATGGTGCCGCCCCTCAGAATCAGGCTCCCTCTCCAACCTTCCTCCTATTATCTCGGCTGTTTGTACACTCAAGAAGCTTGTGGGCACCAAGCGCTCATACTGCAAGCTCAGAAATGTATTGTATTATAGCCTAAGTTAAAGGGTCAGTCTTTATTCATCTGCAAAATTTGAACATTTTACTTGCCTTTGTTGACTAGCGCTGAATCCATGATGTGAATGGTCGGAAGGTGTGGGTAGTAGTGTAGGTCACCCTCATCACCTGGCACCTGGCACTTAGACACCCATTCTTTAGCTTGGCAGTGGCCTGCACACTGTCTGCACCCTGCTTATATCTTGCCACCCTCCATACCTTTCCCATACTGTCTGACCACCGCAAACTGGTAGTGGGGAGCATTGTATCCATAGCCGGGGCAGGATTCATAACCTCTTGTAACATGGAAAGAGATGTTCATGTGGAGAGCTAAACAAAGGTACAAATATCTCAGTATTCATGTCGAAACTGAGATGTTTGGATGCGGGTACCTGGGCTTATAAGGTGAGTGTCCCAGGTACAGTCATATAGAGAAATAAAACTAAAAGATGGACAGCGCATGAGCCAACCATGACACATTGTGCTCATTCTCCATTTGGATGCACTCGCACTTGACATCCTTTCCTCTGGCTCTATCCTTCGGCCGGTTCCTCCATCTCTCCCTTGGCTCTCGTCCCTTCGGCTTTGTCTCCTTCGGATTTGTTCAAATTTTCAAATTACTGTATTACAACCATAGGCCTTCCTATACCCACCCAACAGCCACTTGCTACCTTCCACACCAGGCCATCACTTCCTTCCCCTTTCTGCAGCTGAATGGGAGGGAATGCTGTGAAACCAGGCCACATCAAATAGTAGTATTTTATGAGTAGTATGCATTAATTTACACACATTTGCATCTGTAGTAGTAGTACTGATTGGAATCATATTCAATACACATTCATGACACTATACCATTAAGGACTGCTTTTATTTAGTGGTCCTAGAACAGATGCTCGAGCTCGCTGTGCACAACAGCAAGCTCAAAGGTTCGGTGATGACCATGTGCTGGCGGCATTCAAATGCATGTCGCACCGAGACTGGTAGGCTGACTACCTTTCTTTCAATGTGGCTTTGAAACGCTAACACCTAAGGCACGTTGCCGAGATCAATGTACGAAGTAGTTACAAGATCTTTAGTCTTTTATTCAAATATTCTAATCTAAAGTCTCTACTTTACTCTACACATAACCACAGGTTATGAGCCCTGACACATCTACAATGGAATCATCATCATCCTCGATCTGTAACATCCCAAAATTAGCTGAAGATGGCAGCAATTGGATAACGTACAAAGAGCGCACACAGACTGTGATACGAGCATGGGGACTGATGCAATATATGGATGGATGAGTGATAGAACCTGCCTCATTCAAGAATGATTCTAATGGCAATACAGTCAAAGCCGACGGATCAAAGCCAAGTCAAGCGGAAATAGAAGACTTAGAAAAGAAACAGGACAAGTTTTATCAAAAAGACTCACTTGTCAAGCAGCACATCTTCAGCACCATATTAGACCAGATGCTGTTGAGAGTGCAGAACTCAGGAAGAGCTTTAAAGGTATGGACAGAGATATGTACCATACACGAGGGAAAGACTGAACTTGTGCAAGTTGATTTGCGATGCTGACTGCAAGAGACTCGATGCGAAAAAGGAGGAGATATAAAGAAACATTTTGGAGAGTTGCTCCAAATCCGCAAAGCACTGGCTGGAATGGGAGCATCTATCGCAGATCAAGATTTCTATGTGATAATTATGGGATTCTTACCTGAATCCTATAGACCCATACT